TGAGGTCGACTCAAAGATAAGATTAGTTCACTCATGTTCTTGAAAACGTAGTTAGCTCATAGACTGAGAAAAACTTCCCGAGCTTTGACAGGAATTTGTTTTCTAATATGAGCAAACACTTAAATTTTATTTGACACAAAAGGTTCATGTTATTTTGTGATGCAATTCCCGATTATGATATCACATGAAAGTTATGTGAAATTCTATTGAATCTTTTCATGATTTGAGGATATGTGATTTATTCTTTGAATGTATACTAATTTTTCGTCGATGTTTGTCAAAGTCGAAAAAAATTATGAGGCTCTGAAAATTATAAAACTACGTTTTCTAGAGTCTCGAAAAATTAAACTTAAATATGAGTCTGGTCCTTTTGCACGCCAGCAGTGAAATGCATCGTGCGATACCTCAAATCACATGGAACTCAATATAATGATTAGTGCAGGTATTTGTATTGATTTTCCTAAACTTATAGCTCACCTGATCCTTTGAAAAAGTTCGTTATGAAGTTTTCTCTCGGGTTTCCTTTGATTTTTCTCGAATTTGTTTCTATATTTTTACGACTCTTATTCAGAGGTACAAAACGGCGAAAATGGCTGCTTCGTTCAGCACTAAAACTGCATCCTGGGGTGGGTGTTCTCGAATAAAAAGATGGAATAGGATGGAAATATACTGTCTGCTTCATTCAAGAGAGACTACAGTAATCTGCTTCACATTTCTATAAAATATGCTGAAAAATATCGATTTTTTAAGATAAATTTGAGTAGTAATGAATAACAACAAGTACCTGCCAATATTATCCGATTTCATTCAATATTTCTCGATAATCTTGGATGTGGTAGATTTATCGAGCATTATGCTGATGTTGATTTTAGTGTGTTTTGTGATGTGAACTGTTACTTTCTTGAGCACCTGCTTTTGTGATTGTTGCATGTTCAAACTCTGGAAGCAACGATATTTGCCCGGAGATTTAGCCAAACGTGACCAAACTTCGACTCGACCAAACCCAAGACCAAACGATAAGTGCCATCGATGCTGATCTTCCCCGGATGCCTGATATTGGGGAAGTCTGTTGAGGTAGTGATGGAAATCAGTGATGACCATGGACATTTGCGTGCCATATGCGTTTCCGCACTTCTTATAATGTGTGTAATGCGCTATACTATCATCTCAAAATTTCAAGAGCACAGTTTTCACAAAACATACAACAATGAATCTGGAACTTCAAATTTAATGCAGCAAACAGGGAGTTCCAATTTCATAAGTGATGTCACAACTGTGTCCGAAAATTGTGCTCTAGAACACTTGCCATCCTCAGGCAGTTTGTGAACTCTTCAAGGAATCACCGTAAATAATTTTTGAACATACGATTTTCGAACAGATTTAACAACCAACAATACTAAAAAGTGGATCAGCAAACTCGTAATGACCTTATCTTGCAAACTGAAGCACGCTTACGCAAACGAATTCCATCATCGAATAGGAGAGAATTTTCCCTAGCCGATGGTGTTGTGGATGTGGCAAGGCGAGTTTCAATTTGCGAAAAAAGATCATTACAAGATTTGATTACAAAAACTGATCCACCTTTTTGAATTGTTGGTGGATCGTTCCTTTCTTATAAAAAAACGGCTTTCATCGTTACCTGTCATGATACTCATAGAGATGCAACCCGATATAAGAGATGTATACGATTAAATGGATTTCCCCGACTATAAATCAATAAATCAAACTTTAGAGTAATTTTTGGCAAATTTTGGCGGTTTCATTCACTTTTTCAGTGACAGTGACTATAGACAGTCAAGTTAAAGACGGATCAACGTGAGTTGACGTATCCAAACAAACCATCAAATCGTATGGAAAATGTTCGTCTTGGATACAACTTGGCAGCACTTTGACAGGTCTATAACTATGACCATCTATAACAGTGACAGCTCGTTCGTGTGGTGGATTTGAAAACGCACGAATTTCTAATGCGTGTTGTAAAATGCATCGCACGTGCAATTTGAATAAAGATGTAAAACAGTGTAACCAAATAAATTTTAAAATTTTCCCTTTGTTATAAAAGTCTGTAAATGTCTGTGAAAAAACCAAACAGTCTGTAAATGTCTGTAACTAAAAAAAATGTCTGTGAAAAAAATAAAAGTCTGTAAATTCACAGATATGCCTGAAAATCTGAGACAACTTTTGATCAATTTACCTCATATTCATATTCCCGGAAAAATAAGAAAAAAATTACTCACTCACTGAGAAACTCCACTTTTTGCAATTTTGAGTTGAACTCGATTCAGGTACTGCGCTACTCGCATCGACCGTGCAATATTAGCTATAATCTCTCAATAGCTTCGTCTTATCCCGCTGAAACGGAACACCCATTGGCCAAATCACCTCTTGAGTTAGACCAAATTGAATCCAATTTTGGATCAAGATAAGCACGGATTTCGTTCCCGTCGAAGGCACCCTTTCTCTGTCAGTCAACAACTGCAAACGACTCCATTTTGTAGCCTTAGCTGCGGGATTAAAGACAACGAATGGTTGGTGGTTTCGATCCAGTCTTAATACTCGGTGTCGTCAAACGTGCTGATGTTTTCGTTATCGACTCGAGATTGAGTGTATCTTGGATAATGTTATACACCACCACCCTCCATCCTGGCAGCTGCTGTTACTTCAGGAGGTATACTGAATCTCTCTCCCCAACGTGCATGTTTGAAACGTGCACTATTTGTTGAATTGATACTATCACAATTGAATTTATAACGTAAACAGCATGCGAGAAACGATGTGCAGCGCGTTTCGCATGACAGTAAGGGATGCAGTTGATTCTGAATCGGGGATCACCTTCATTTTACCGTAACGGAAAATGCGTCGAGGGGTTCTTGCATGTTTTGTTATAACAAATGACAGTGAACTTTCATGATCTGGCGACTCAATCCTAAATCCCCTCGTTTCGAAATCTTATTCATAATCCTTAAAAGACCACATCCTGTAGCACTTCACATCCTCTATGCCGGAACAAGTGATCCATCTCCGTTGCTTATCGACACTGTTCTATTCACTATGCAGTTTAGCGAGCAACGCAAATAAACACAACTCAAAGACGCATCAACGGTGAAACGACGTCGACGACGATGTGCAGCTGTATAGTTTGGTATGCATTATTCACAGCACGCAATCCTGATACCCCCCTGGCACTCCGCTGATCCTGAATTGTGGTCCTGTAAAACCTTCCCCAATCAGATCTGCTGCCAAGACTAGCTGGTGCTGGTGTGGTGCCGCAAAGTTGATTTAGTTGCGAAAATCCTCACCCGCCTTGGAACCCAGCTCGCAACCAACTTATGGGAACCGGGAAAACTCCTTCAGAAGCTCTTCAGATCGCTTGATTTGAAAACTTTTGTTATATTATATGGAAGCGTTCGGATGCGGCGCGTTTCTTTGATATGTAAATTGCATCAGCAGCAGATGCCTGCAGTAACAGCAATGGTAGTAGCATGTAGTTGTGGCAGTAGATTGCATTTGGGCGAATCTGTGCATGCAGTTCGGTGCACTACCGCACAGATTCGAGCTGCAGGTCGTGTAACGCCGTGATTGGAAATCAACAGCGAGGGAAATAGTTTTGATTGAGTTGCAGCGGAATGCAGAGACGGAGAATGTATAGTTCTGATTGCGGTTCCAGTTAATCAATACGCTGCTAACAGAACGAGGGTTTCAAGTGATGTAACCGAATTCCGGTCGAGAACGAATTTTGTGGTCCCGTCGATTGCAACCGAGAGAGGGTTGGAATCGATTGCACATTTTCTTCATCATCCGCGTGGTAATTTCCTCGCAGTTTCCGTGTTATGATCGCCTTTCGCGAACGTCTAATTCGGCTCACGCCTCACCATTACGCCTTAACGCTCGAAGGCTTCCATTCTTTGATGGCTTAGTAGCTTTAATTTTATTACGACAAACTAAGCGCCAGTGCGAATGGTCTCCCTTCCCAAAGATTATGTTCTCCCTGTCTCAATGGTTTCCTTCAACACATCGATGGTGTGGACCTGTTGTTCGCAAGTGGGCTTCTTCTGAACCATTAAGGTGGGTGGTGAAACAGTGTCTATTTCGGCGAATCGTGGACTTTTGGGTTCATACTTTTCACCAGGGTCAAATTAGGACACTCATACGCCTTTTTATTGTGTTTCAATCGTTTGATCTCTGTCCTATCATCAGACAAAATGCAATTTACAAGCCGAGTTCAATTCGTATTGATCGATTCATGAAAAAAAAACCCCAAATTGACATCATTTCCTGGATCCAACCCCGTTTTCCTGCTATCATCCACTGTAGACGGAGTACATAGCTCAGCAGCAGCAGCATACGCGTATGAATTTTTATGGTAATTCTTGGAAAAGCGCTCCCGGCGGTGGCAGCGACAGCAACAGCGACCAACAACCCATCAAAAACCCCACAAAAATGCGTTTTCTTCTGCTGCTTGCTCCCCCTCGCTCACCGTGTTCCGGAGGTTGGCAATTTCCTGCACACTGAATGCCAGGATAATTGGAAGGTACGTCCTCGCGGAGTTGACTTTTTCCTTCTCCTCTCGAGTCTTTCTGCTGCGCTCTTCACAAAAGTCACAAAGTCGACCGCTGGGTGAAATTTCCATCAAAGAATTCAACTTTTCCAGGCACGGGGCCCGAAATACGTCATTAATTGGATTTTAAACTCCCCGTCGACGGCAGGTTGCTGGAAACCTTTGTAACCTTTATATTTGCATGTACTTTCTTCAGTTTGGCATCCGGCACGCGCTAAGTTGTAAATTACCGGCTGCGAGTTGGATAATTGTTGGAGAAATTCACAAAATGTGGTTTACATATTTATCTCACCAGGGGGAGGAAAGTTTCATCCAAGGGCACTTTAGGCTGATTCGTCCATCCAGTCAGTGGTCGACTCAAAGCGCATTAGCATTTTTCTTCATCTGAGCCGAAGATGAAAGAGGATCATTTAAAATGGTAATTTAGTGGGTACAACGAAAATTTTAATTCAAATCACATTTTATTGACCACCAAGGATTCTACAGAAAACATCATCAACGATGTCATCAAAGTTTATCACGTTTTGGGTGACATTTTTAGCGATCTTCGTTATAGTATCGCCCAGCGAATCCTTCAGTTTTTGCTCGTTCCTCGACTTTTGAGCTAATCCTTGAATTTTCACCTTGGCATGACACGGATCCAAGCCAATCCATTCGAACGTCCTGTTGGTACTTCTGGCTATCTCTAGAACATCATCCCGCCATGGGCAATCCCACTGATTGCCATCGAGTCGAACGGTGTTCAATCCCGGTAGTTGAACTAGAATGTTCTCAATTCGATCCAAGCTGTTGCTCGAAACGTCCAGTTCATTCAATTCGGGCATGATCCAACGGGAGATGTCCAGCGTGGTGATTTGGTTATGAGCTAGATTCAGAAATTTCAACGAAGCTATCCTAACAAGTCCTGTTGAAAACACAGCTTTGATGCTATTGTAACTCAGACCCAAAATGGTTAGCTGATCCAATCCGGTGAAGTCTTGCATGTTGAGAAATGAAAGATGGTTATTCGACAAATCTACCAAAGTCAAGTTTGAAAGATGACTCAAATCTTTCGGTATTGCGGCAAGTTCATTCTCAGGCAAATGAAGTTCTGTTAAGTGGTATGGCTCAGCAGTGTCGATCTGGATTTCATTCAGCTGACAGCGGGAAACTCTGAAGTACTTCAACTCTGGTTTGAGGAATGCACTTTTTATATTACTGTTGAAGATGTCCAATCGTTCCACATTCTGCATGCGATACAGTAGCTGACTAGAAAGTTCATCCAGGAGAGCAAACTGCAGTTGAATGGATGTGTGCTCGGGAAATTCCACCCTGCAGGAATGGATATCGGCAGTGACGCTCGTAATCAAGCAAAACGAATCTTCCTCGCTGTAGTTATCGCAAAAATATCGAGCTCCAAGTGACGTCGAGGTGAATGATACCACTCTGAAATAAGTTTTTGGTTAGGGAAAATGAATTTGAACTACTGTAGTGAACTTACAAAATAAACAGAAAACGCTTAAATCCAGCCATGATTTCTAATGCCGTTCACGTCAAAGCACGTTCGGGTTCGATTGAAGAGCGATCGTTACTGGCATTATGAAATCAAAGTGCTGCTGCGCGGTACTAACTGCCCTTATCATGTGCTATGACAAGCAGTGTGCATTTCAGCTGAAATTCATGCACGACAAACATTATCAATCATAGCTGATTGAACCCGTTTTCAAGTATACAATGTTTCTAGAATTGCAGGCTACTTTAATGAATACAAGTAAATATTGATAGTCATCATGGTTGTAGGCCTGTTAACATATAAAAATAAATACTCACCTCTTGATCCCGGGCATTCAGAACTGAATCATACTATTCTTAAGGGCAAGGTTGATAGAATTCTAAAATGGCCGTTGGCCTAACTGATTTGCCTTATAAAATCAGCCATGATAGGGAAGATTTATGGATTCTAGTAATCTTGTGTGTGCGACAACACTGCTACTGATTCAGCAAGATAGTGTGTTAAGGAACGATTACAGTCTTTTGTTGCGTATAGTTGTGAGACGATAGGGAAAGAAGCGGTGTTCAGTTTCCTCAGAAATCAAACGCCCTTAATTCCTACGAATTTGAAAGTGGTAACGAAGTTGGTCTTTGCCAAGTGGCTTTCCCACCGGGAACACGAAAGAATTCGTTATTATACCACTGTAGTGCGATCAGATTGGGAAACTAAAGCTATGTCCATTTAGAATCCGGAATAATAAAATCATCTGTATATCGGTAACGGATTAACGTAAAAATAAGGTTAATACATCAAAACAAAGGTAATTCACTGTACTTTAAGGAAAAAACATCAATACAAATCATTTCTCTTGTTTTGTAATAAAAAATTGCACTTTCTTTTTTATTCCTCCCATCAAACGCTGCACATCTCCGGAGTCAACTTCCTTGGCACATTTGTTCCACATTTTGGTCATCTGAATCGTGTCCCGAGCCGTTTTTCCACTTTTATTAATTGCCCAAAATCTCTGGATGGGCCGGAACTGCGGGCAGTTGGGTGGATTTATGTTTTTATCGATGAAATCTACGTTATTATCGCGGTACCACTGGATGACTTCCCGACTGTAGTGGCAACTCGCCAAATCTGGCCAAAACTTCACGGGACCTTTATGGGCTTTAATGAAAGGTAGTACGCGGTTTTTGAGGCATTCTTCCTTGTACAGCTTCGAGTCCATCGTCTTATTCGTCACGAACACTTTGGTCTTTGCTCCGTAGCTGTATATCCCTCATTTTTTTGGAAAATTTGTCCATAAAAGCAAACTTAAACTTCGCAGGAACATCTCCTCGTGCCGTCGCCATGTAGAATTTTTGGCCAGGAAGCTGTCCGAAATCCATTTTGACGTAGGGTTCATCGTCGATGAGCAGGCATCCTTGGTACTTCGTCAAAACCTGCTGGTAAAATTTCCGAGCTCGAGTTTTGGTGACGAAACTTTGCTTCAACGTTCTGTTTGTTTGGATAAGAACGATATCCTGCTCGCAAACGAATTCTTCGAACGGTACTGCGAGCAGCAGCGTATTTTTGTGCGATTTCATTATCTGATATTTTAGGGTTTGCTTTGACGGTTCTCAACACCTTCTGGTTCTGCTTGCGGTCATATGTATTGGGCCGTGATATATTCAGTGGAAATAAGTATCCGAGGAACTACTGTAGTTAATTAAATACTTTATTAATTAAGGATTAGCGACAACAAAGCTCTCACTTGAATGGTGCTTTTACGAATGTAGAAAAATAAGGTAAGCGGTGCTGTCAGTGTAGGTAGAAAGTTTAATTCTTGACAACACAGCTCTGATGGAAAGAGCATCTCGATCGTTGCTCCTACCAATACTCCTCCTCAACGATCTCCGCCGGTCAATCCCAGCATAGCAGAGATCTTCCGAAGCTTCACCTGTCCAAGTGCCTTGGTAAGTATATCCGCAGCCATTTCTTCGGTTGAGCAATACAACAGTTCCAGTACCTTTGCATCGCACAACTCCTTGACGAAACACTGCCGAGTCTGAATGTGTCTCGATCGCTTGGTCGTCCATTCCGAAACAATGAACTTAATGCAGCTCTGGTTGTCTTCCCACAGCGTCACTGGCTTGAAGGACGGTTCACCGAAGTCGTCGAACAAATTCAGAAGCCAAACAGCCTCTTGGCTCGCCTCACTCAACGCCACGTATTCCGATTCCATCGAAGACAATGTGACGAAATTCTGCAGACCGCTTGTCCACGAAATAGCTCCTGCTGCTAACATGGAAACGATGCCGGTCGTCAACTTTCGAGTTTTCAAGTCACCCGCCCAGTCCGCATCTGAGTATCCAATCAACTTGCCGTCAGGATCTCCGTACTTCAACTGCCACTTCTTTGTACTTTTCAGGTAGCGAACTACCCGTTTAGCCGCTATCCAATCGACTTCCGTCGGGGCACACACACGCATCTCCCCAAAATAGACACACTAGCAGCGATGTCCGGTCTCGCGCAGACTGCGATGTACAACAGTGTCCCGACTAGACTCCGATATTGCGTGTTTGTTTCGAGTGGAGGACTGTCCTCCCTGGTTTTGACGAATCCATCCTCCATCGGGGTTTTCACACTCTTGGCGTCACCGAGGCCGAATCTCTCAGCAACTCGGTCCATGTAGCTGTCCAGCGAAATGCCGTACTTACCATCTTCCTTCTTGATTTCCATCCCCAGGAAATAGTTCACATCTCCTAGGTTGGTCATCTCGAACTCCTTACTCAGGGCCGCATAGATCTTTTCGATCTCCGTCTCGCTTTCGCAGCCGATCAAAATATCGTCAACGTAGACAAGCAAGTATACGCGCTTTCCGTTTACAACCTTCGTGTAAAGACACGGATCAGCCTGGCTTTGCTTGAAATTCAGGACTTCGAGAACGGCGTGCAGACAGTGATTCCAACAACGAGCCGACTGTTCAGCCCGTAAGTACTCCCTTTCAACTTGCACACTTGCTTCTCCTTACCTTTAATCTCAAAACCGGTTGGTTGCCGCATGCATATCTCCTCTTCCAGCCTCCCGTATAGATACGCAGTCTTCACATCAAAATGCTTAAGTACCAAGCTCCGTTTGGTCCCGATCGCCAAAAGCGTCCGCAAAGTGGTCTGCTTTATAACAGGTGCGAAGACCTCGTCATAGTATTGACCATACTTTTGACAAAAACCTTGGGCGACCAAACGAGCCTTACTTAATAGCTTCTCCAGCAGCATTTCGTTTTATCTTGTAAACCCACTTGCACCCTGTAGTAGATAGAGTTAGTGTTGAATAAATAATGAGTAGAATCAAGTGAACGTGAAGCGTGATAGTTCGTATGTAAACAGAATCTCATTGGTTAGACAATTTTGATAGGTTAGCAGGTATAAATATGAAGTACCTAAGCTCGTTGAAGTCATTCTTGTAACGAATTTTGGAGGTGAATCACCACCAGCAGCAGCAGAAACAGCAGCAACAGAAACCTCAGCAGCAGAAACAGCAGCAGCAGCAGCAATAGAAGCAGCCGCACCCGTGGGAGCTGCATCGCTAATTCGTGTTGCCGTGGCCGAGGCTGGAAACCTCGGTCCGGTCACGACAATGGCGCAGTTGGTACGATAGTGTAAGTATAGTGGAATGACTAAAGAACTGAAGAATTATTTTGAAAAAATTGCCATGACCTGATGGATGGTAGAAAGAATTACCATGACCTGATGGATGGTAGATAGAATTACCATGACCTGATTGATGGTAGATAGAATTACTATGACCTGGTAATTCTGGAACGGATGGTAGATAAGAATTTCCATTACCTGATTGATGGACTGAAGAAATTTAGAAATAGTTAGAATTGCCATGACTTGATGGATGGACTGAGGAAATTTTTAAATAGTTGGAATTGCAATGACCTGATGGATGAAATATCTCTGAGATGGTAGATGAAAGTCCTCCGAGAGGGTAGATAAAATTCCCCCAAATGGGTGGATATAATGCCCCTTCCTCAATTAAGGAGAGTAGAAGAGGGGAAGAATGTAGTAGATAGAGTTAGTGTTGAATAAATAATGAGTAGAATCAAGTGAGCGTGAAGCGTGATAGTTCGTATATAAACAGAATCTCATTGGTTAGACAATTTTGATAGGTTAGCAGGTATAAATATGAAGTATCTAAGCTCGTTGAAGTCATTCTTGTAACGAATTATGGAGGTGAATCACCACCAGCAGCAGCAGAAACAGCAGCAACAGAAACTTCAGCAGCAGAAACAGCAGCAGCAGCAGCAATAGAAGCAGCCGCACCCGTGGGAGCTGCATCGCTAATTCGTGTTGCCTCGGCCGAGGCTGGAAACCTCGGTCCGGTCACGACACACCCTACTGGCTTTCACCCAGCAGGGGGGTTTACCAACTCCCACGTTTCGTTGTCTTCGTGAGATCGCAGCTCGTCAGTCATGGCTTTTCTCCACTCAGCACCCTTACCACAGCTCAAAGCTTCCTGAAGCGTTCCCGGCTCCATCTCCTCCTCTGGGGGAAGCGTGCCTGCCATGACCTCAAAGATCGCCTAGTGATTTCATCCAACGGGAAACCATGGAACGATGAATCACCATTAGACGCGATCGTATACTGCAAACTGTCCAACTCTTCTGGATCCGCTTCCTCATCACTATCACTACTTTCAACAGCTTCGGGAATAGTAACCTTTTCAATCTTCTTCCCCTCAAGCGGTATAATAACCTCTTCACTCGCTTTTTCAGGAAACAGAAACGGTTCTTCTTCGCGAACTTCCTGCCGGCACCCGTGGGGCACCTCTTCTTCACGCACTTCGCATCACGGCTGATCAGAATCGTATTGTTCTCGAGATTCAAGAAACGATATGCCTTGCGACCCTCTGCGTATCCAACTAAGACCAACTTCACTGCTTTCGGATCCAGCTTTCTTCGCTTCTCCTTTGGCACATGCACGTATGCCTCCGAACCAAAAATACGCAAATGAACATACGACGGCTTCTTGCCGTGCCACAGTTCATACGGTGTCTTCTCAATGACAGACGACGGAAGACGATTCTACAGGTAATTCGCCGTGTTCAACGCTTCAC